TAGCCACTTGAGCCACAGGCGCCGAGCCTCCTGCTGCTTCTTATAGACATTATCTTGAGGCTTCTTGCACCACAGCTGTTGAGACTGCCAATCACCGATGTTCTTGTCTCCAGAGATCTCATGTTAGGAGAGCCGAATCCCTTCCCCATGCCCTTATCACCAAGATATTACAGGTGTTTCTTATAATTATTCAGTGTTTCCAAGCGTATCTCTCCCTTCTCCTTTCCTTAAAAGCATATGATCTACTACAGTGCTATACCTCAGTTCTTTCTTCACAAGCCACCCAAAGCGAGCTGTGAAAAGCAATGTCTCACCCCATCTCAAGAATGCAAAGCAGTCCAGTCCCCTCACGGCCAATGAGACCTTGACTCTGCCAAACCACATGCCCCTCTTTATACTTATTATCTACTCCTAGCCCACTGGGCAACTTACTGTTCTTCACAAAGCAAGCTCTTTCCCATCTCATGGTCACACAAATGACATCTCCAAGTCTGGAAGCTCTTTTCACCAATACTCTTACATGTCTGCACAGTTATTTTCCCTTATTGGCTTAAATCTCACCCCTGCAGAGTCTCTCTCCCCTAGAGTAATTTTCCATAGCTCTCCCCTTTCCACTGAGTTCTTTTACTTTTCAGTACTTTTATTTCACAACTTATTCTGTCTGTGCTATCTGCATATAAAAGGCCATCACGGCTTTGTGCCTTTGGCTCAAGTGGCTAAGGCACCAGCTACATACACCTAAGGTGGCGGGTTCAAATCCAGCCCGGGCCTGCCAAACAATAATGATGGCTACAACTAAAAAATAGCCAGCTGTTGTCGGGGGCGCCTGTGGTCCCAGCTACTTGGGAGGCAGAGGCAGGAGACTCTTGAGCCCAGGAGTTGGAGGTTGTCGTGAGCTATGATGCCACAGCACTCTACCCAGGGGGACAGCTTGAGGCTCTGTCTCAAAAAAAAAAAAAAAAAAGGCCATCATATTGATTATGAACTGTATGGTGGCAGGGTTTAAGTTAAGGCTTTGGTTTCTCACACAAGTGTTTAGTATACTGCATGGGACAGAAGAGATCCTCTGTAAATATTTGTGAGGTGAGAGAAGGAAAGGAGAGGAAGGAAAACATCTAATAAAGAACTCTGTGACAAAGCAGAGATGAACTGGGAAACCATCATCTCAGGCACAGACTACAAGAGCTCCCTAACCTCACACAGCCTCTAAGTCTGAGACACCACCCCTGAATCTGTCACTTGTGAAGCCAGCTTTCCCCAGATGTGTAGAACCATAGGCACCCACAGTGCCCCACAGAGCAGCTAGATTTAGGGAACTATATCCAAAAGTACATGACCTGGAGGTTTCCCATGCAGGATATGAGATTGAAGCTTTAGGGAGGATGAGACACTAGCTCATCCCATCCAGAGTAATCTAGAACCATAAAGACCAGAAGAGACATTAGGAGTCTGGATGATCAAGGGAGAAACCAATGGGCAGAGAGACCACCAAAGACAGATACAAAGTGCTTGCACTGCAGGGTACCTTGTAGAGGACATATAGTTCGGTTACCTGTGCCAATGGTTAGAAACATTTTCAGTGAAGGGAAGAGAAAGGCCTCTGAATGTGGAAAAGTAAAACAAAAAACACTGAAACGTTAAGCTGAAACATGGAAAAACCTGAAATAGAGTTGAGAAAAAGGAGTCACAGAGATCACACCCCTCTATTCTGTGGTGAACAGTTCATCATCAAACATGGGGGCCAGACACAGATTTCATAGCTATAGAAATTGTAGTAACAATAAGTGGGTAGTTCCAGTGGCATTTGAACCAGAGTACTGAGAACAAAGGTACAGATTTCACAGCTAAATACTACCATAAGTGGATAATTCCAATGGCATTTCAATTACAGCACAAAGAACAAAGAGAAGGCAAAGCATCTAGTGTGCTTTCTAGCCAGCACACCTTGATGATAGAAAAGCTGAAAAAAATAGCAAAGAAAAACCCATTTCCCCAAAGTAATTTATGAGTATTGACATGAAAATCAAAAAAAAAAAATCAACAGACTCCAGCTACACATTACACTAAGGGTATTTCTATGTCTATTATGTCCCCCACATTAACTGCTTAAAGGAGAAAAAAATCCCTATGACCATCCTGGTGGGTTCTAGGTGGGAAACTGGAGATATTACTGATTTTCATTCATTAGAGATGACTACATGACTATTTCTTCATCCAGATAAAAATTATTTTGAATCAAAGTAGAATCCAGTGTCATGCACATCAAAACCTGGAAATCAGACATCCACTCTTCACATTCTGAGCTTCACAATGCTTTGGAAGCTCAACCAATGTGAATACAATTACATAACTTCTTCCAAAAAGTAAAAACAATTAATATCCAATGAACAAAGAACACAGTCAGTAAACAGTGCTGAAAGAACTTGTACCCCACACCATGTGTCAGAGGAAATTCCACATAAACGGAACTAACCAAAAAACAAATTTGAAAATACTAGAATACACAAAAGTATGCGTACTATTGGCCTACGTATGATACAAAACCTAGAACAGGAATAAAAGCAAGTCTGAAAAGAAAAAAATATGTGGGGCGGTGTCTGTGGCTCAAAGGAGTAGGGCACTGGCCCCATATGCCAGAGGCGGTGGGTTCAAACCCAGCCCTGGCCGAAAACTGCAAAAAAAAAAAAAGAAAGAAAAAAAAAATATGTGAAAGTACAGAATTTCTGTAGAGAGACTACATAAAGATAGAAGGTCTGGGATATAGTATTTCAATATTAACATCCAGAAAATATAATTCCCACATATAAAAGGAGATGAACAAGGAAAAAAGGGAAAATACATAAACTCACAAAAGAAAAAATGATGAAAGTATATAAATTTATAAAACACGTACAACTCTGGCAGCTGTGAGGAAAATGTGAACTAAACCTATGTACTATTTTTTTACCCATCAAATCTGAAAATCTTAAAAAAAAAAAAAAAATTAAGCCTCGGCACCCAAAGCACAGTGGTTACAGTGCCAGCCACATACACCAAGACTGGTGGGTTTGAACCAGGCCTGGATCAGCTAAACAACAATGACAACTACAACAAAAAATAGCCCGGCATTGTGGCAAGTGCCTGTAGTCCCAGCTACTTGGGAGGCTAAGGCAAGAGAATAGCTTGAGCCCAAGAGTTTGAGGTTGCTGTGAGCTGTGATGCCACAGCACTCTACCGAGGGTAACATAGTGAGACTCTGTCTCAGGAAAAAAAAAATTAAAATTCCCTTGTTGATGGAGAGGGAAAAGAGCATTCACGCACCTGAACTATACGTATTTTATACAAGTTTATCCATTTGTTGCTACCAGATTTTTAGCTTACACTTTAGTCAATCCTGCAGTTAACGGATGTCAACTGTGTTTCTTGCACAGATAACTGATGCACCTAGGATTGCCACCACACCTGCTAAAGCAGCCTTACCTGTGACACTGTGCCCTAAGTCCACACGACTATTTGCCTCTTTGGATTCAGTTCATGGAGAATGTAACCTAATTTATGGCAAGTATGTCATGCTCCAGTATGCAAAAAAAAAAAAAAAAATCCGACAGAAAAACTAATTTGTATGTGCAAAAAACTGTATACAAGCAAGTTCTTTGCAACAACCTGAATGTCCACCAAGGGAAGAGAGAAGAAAAATAAAACTTGGATTATACTGAAACTGTTAAAGAGTGAAGCAAACCTGTTGGTATTGAGTATAATATACTCCTAAAACGTCTATATAAATTTATACATGTGCACATAAACCCATAAACAGAAGTCTGGCTGGAAACACACCCGACTTAAAATGATTACGTGAGGGGGAGGGATGCAGACAATAAATGGAACAGTGTGAGTGAGCCCCTACTGTCAACACATATACCACCTGCCACTAGCAACAGGTTCACTTTCAACCAAGTATGACGCTAACTTTGGGGCCAGAGAAAATCTTAGAGCTTGGTTATGCATGTCTGTGGTTACTTATCACACCACTCCACCTGGGAACTCACACCTTCTCCAACTCTTTTCCAAAATATTGGTCCCAGACTAATCAGTTGATCCATTCCCTGTGAGGTCTTCCCATGTGCCTGGTTCTCACCTGGAAGGGTGTCTTGAGGAATTCCTCTCTCCAACGGCCAGAATTCTTCTGCTTCCTCTAACTGAGATACCACATCTGGCTTGGAAAGCTGATGTTCTGCTCAAAGGAAAAGAGACAGGGCTTGCAGGGGTGGTCTGTGTTTGGGGGAAAATGCTGCCCTGCTGCTGTACAAGTTGTTTCCACCTTCTTCCCTGTGATGGCATGACATAACTTCTGGTGACCACAATCCTATCCATCCCCTTTGTTGACTTTTCTAGACTCCCTTGAAGTGACAGTGAGACCCAATGCCAGTCACTCACACAAAGGGAGATGTGTTAGCTGAGGAGACTTTTGGGAAAAGCTTTTGTTTTCTTGTTAAGTGCAAAGCTGTGAAAAACAGCAGGCCAGGGCTACCCCCTTCCCTTATTTCTGCCTTGAATACAGAATTGCTTGAAGCCACAGCCATACAATGACTAGCTAGAAGATGGAAAGGTTCACAATAGCCAGAGATGCAAGGGATTAGGTTCTTTGATGATAACACCTGACCTGGTGGAACATTTGATGTCACATCCTCTGTACTTCTTGTTATAAAAACAGGAATCATCCTCTACTGCAGCTGAAAACATCTTTAACAGACTCACATGCCTAGTACTCAGGGGCTCTGAGCAATGGATTAGGGACTAATAAGTCCTTATCCTACAGATGCAAAATTACACTTGCTTCCACACTTCCACTGTGATCCCTGCAGTTTAAGCCCAAGTAGACACACATTTCACACAAAGCACAGATCTTTATCGACATAGAGGCCAGTCTTACCCACTGAGACCAGGTTGCTGTAGTTCTCTAGCATCACTTCCCTGTACAGAGATTTTTGTTCGAGGTCCAGCAGTCCCCACTCTTCCCCGGTAAAACCCAGTGTAACATCTTCAAAAGTCACTGGTTCCTAAAATCCAGATTTTTATTCAGCCAGGGCATGTCCTCATCCATGGCAAAGAAAGACGAGGGAGGATGACAGAGCCCATGAAAGCACAGAATGGTCTACAAGATGATGAGCATTTTGGGAGTCACATCTTGAGATTCTGTGTTGGGTCTGAAACGCTGAGCAAACACTAAGCTTAACCCTATTCAGGGCACCAGACCTTACTGGCATACCAAATCCTGCCCATTTCTTACTAATCTGAGGATTGGAGTATGACAATTCCTAGAGAATTCCCTGAGCTGAATCATCACATGCAAGATTTCAGCCCCAAAGTTCAAGGCCGGTAGCTCAGCAGCTAGGGCACCAGCCTCCTACACTGGAGATAGAGGGTTCGAACCTGGCCAGGGCCTGCCAAACAAACTGCAGCAAAAAAACAGCTGGTCACTGTGATGGGCACCTGTAGTCCCAGCTACTTGGGAGGCTGAGGCAATAGAATCTCTAAAGCCCAAGAGGTTGAGGTTGCTATGAGCTATGATACCATGGCACTCTACCTAAGGTGACATAGTGAGACTCTGTCTCAAAAAAAAAAAAAAGACATCAGCCCCTACTGTTTTTTTCTTTTTTTTTCCCTAAAGACAGAGTCTCACTATGTTGCCCTCAGTAGAGTGTGGTGGCCTCACAGCTCACAGCAACCTCAAACTCTTGAGCTTAAGCGATTCTCTTGCCTCAGCCTCCCAAGTAGCGCTTGAGGCGCCCGCCACAAGCCTCGCTATTTTTCTGTTGCAGTTATTAATGTTCTTCAGCAGGCCCATGCCGGGTTCGAATACGCCAGCCTCGGTGCATGGGGCCAGCAGTGTAACCGCTATGCTACAGGAGGCAAGCTGAACCGAGCCGAGCCCCTACTGTTTCTATCTCATTTATTTTCAGGGATCCATCCGCTATTCTCTTTTCCTTTTGTTGCTAAACTCAGTCATGTCACATCTTGTTTAAAACCTCAACAGAAATCTAATCCTTACTTAGACCTGTCAATTATCCAGCCCAGTATAGATAAAAGTAAAATGAAATCACCTCAACCGGGCCTTCAGAATCACCCCCCATCTGACCTTTAACCTAACCACACCCCTTTGAAAGCAAAGCAACTTGTGGACTGTCTCATGCCCAGTCAACCCCTTGCAGCTTCCTGAGGTGCTCTGGGGCTTGAGGAAATCTCACAGAAAGGGGCCTCTCCCCACCACACCCCCATAAAGGAGCGGACTCAAAAGCTGAAAGAAGCCTCTACTCACACAGGACCAGGTCGTCGGAAGCCTGGAGGCCATACTTTTCTCCCCCTCAATCTGTCTGTCTCGGGAATGGGTGAAGTCCTGAGAAAACCAAAGTGGGTCAGGGAAAGCCGCCAGGGAGCTCTCCCCGTCTGTGCTCGGAACTGGCTTCATCCACAGGAAATGACAAGTCCACCCCCACACAGGAGGAGCCCAGAAATGTGTCAAAAGCCCAGTCTCGCACGACTGGAGAGGACCCTGGGCAACAGAATCGCGCTGTTCCCAGCTCCCACGACCCGCGGAAGGTCGTCCGCCTTCCCCAGGCCCCGCGCTCCCAGGCACAGTCGGCTCCCTCAGCCCTAACGCCCGGAAACCGCCGTCTCCCCTCGGGGTTCCGGGTCACGTCCCACAGCCCGTCGGGAGGACTGCAGACAGGTCTGGCTCCGGGCTCCCAAGCTCCGCAGGGCAGGGTCCCAAACTGTGCCCGCTCCCAAGTAGCAACCCCACGCCCACCGACGCAGCTCCCGTCGGACACGGCTTTCGAGCCCCACTTACCCGGCGCACACCTCACAATGGCGCCCGTCGGCCCCGCAGCGAAGTGCGTCAACGCGCCGGCCGGACTACAATTCCCAGAAGCTCCCGTGTCGCGCCCTGTGGCCTCACCCCGGCGGCCATTTTGTTCAGCCCGCTCTGTGATGCAGGCGAAGCCGGGGCAGAAAAGAGGCTCAGGGAAGTGGCCCCCAGCGGTGCAACTGAGCAAGGGGGAGGTCTCTGGTGAGGGACGCTAGGCCTCGGGTCCCCAGCACTTCCGTAGGCGGCAACCCAGGTTGGAAGAGAGTCGTGCCCCACTGCGTGGGCGACCCCTCGTGGGGCCGATTGGAAGCAGTAGAAAAGGGAAGGCGCGAGAAGGGGGAGTCAAGCCGGAAGTTCTGCAGTGGGCGAGGCCGCGTGGGCGGGGCTCATTTGACTTTGCTTTAGGGTGGCGGAAGGCCAGGAAGGCCGGAAATTCAGGGGCTGGGCCTAAAGGCCACCGTCCCCCTTGAGTGGGAGGGCGGAGGCGGAGCGAATAACCCCCCACAAATTTGAGGAAGGAAGGAGGGACCAAGGGGATGGACGCGTGCTGGGGAGGGCTCATTGGTGTTGAAGGCCCGCCCACTTTAGAGGACTAGGAGTTGGGCGCTGGGACTCAAATCCGCCCGGCCCTGGGAGCAGAGGGCGGGGCCTACCCTGGGGTGCGGGTGGGCGGGGCGGGCATTCCGTCGACCGGAAGTGGGAAGGGCGAGAGGCGAATCGTCTACCCTGGTTCTTGGGGAGGGCTAAGAGGAGGGTTTGACTGTCCCCTAGTCTCAGGGTGGCTGGGCCTGACTGTCCACGCAGTTGTAGGGAGTAGATCAGGACTCAGTGCACCCATGGCATGTGGAAGGGGTGGCAGGCCAGGATCCTCTGCTCAGCTCCTGAGGTCGAGTTTGCTCCTGGACGCCGGGTACTCCTGTCCAGGAAGAGGAAGCTGGAGTTGGTAGCTGGATGTGTAGTTTGCCGGTCTTCCTTAGGTCCAGGATGGTCTGTACTCCATTGGCTTTTTCAGGGACCAGCATGTGGTATTTTCTTGTCTTCCCAATCTGTGGTCTTGTCTTCCTTGGGACCCTAGCCTAGGGGCTCTGATGTTCTCTCTTCCTGGGGCTCAGGGCCTGTTAATCTGTTCTCGGGTTCTTTCTGTGCTCCTCTTCCTTGAGGTTTCTTGGCGGTTCTCGACAGCCTTGTGCCTCCCTCTAGTGGTCCTGAAAACTGCCTGCTAATTTTTGTTTTTGTTTTTGTTTTGTTTTGACACAGCGTCTCACGTTGTCACCCTTGGTGGTGTGCCATAGTGTCATAGCTCACAGCAACCTCAAACTCTTGGGTTCAAGTGATTCTCTTGCCTCAGCCTCCCGATTAGCTGGGAATACAGACACCCAGCTATTTTTAGAGGTTGGGGGAAGTCGCTGGCTGAGGCTGGTCTCCAAAAGTTCCTGAGCTCAAGCAATCCACCTGCCCCAGCCTCCCCGACTGCCAGGATTACAGGTGTGAGCCATCGTGTGCCTGCTAAACTTGTAACAGGGGTTGTTAATTTGGAGGCCAGCGTGGTTCACCCTCGGGCTACACATTATCTTAATTTTTGTTGCAATTAGTAAGTCTGTTGATTTTTGTATATTAGTGTTTAGTGTTTAGTCAGAGACCGGGCAGATGTCTTTTATTCTTATGTTTCCTTGGATTTTTCTTGGCTTTTGTAAATAAAATATCATATCCATTGATATTTCAACTTAAAAAAAAAAACTAAATGGCTAGTGTGCCAGAGCCATGTTAAGTAGTCGTGTTTACTAACGATCATTCTTGTTTTGTTTTGGATGTAAACGGGGATGTTTTTAGTTCTTAACCTTTATGTTTGATGAAGGCCTTTTACCTATTGAGGAAGCAAGTGCCCTAGGAAATTATTTTAATATCTTTTTCTGTTTATGTGGTATAGGGTAAAAACATGATTTATGGTTAAAGGTGCTTTAAGTATCATTAGAGACTGAATTATGAAAGCTATTTTAATGCAACTTTTAATAATTGCATACTTTTTCCTATTTATCAAACATGCTGTTTACTGTAATTTGTAAAATATATAATCTCTGAACAAATGTTAGCTGTTGACATGTAAAACGTCAGAAATGTTGTGCATCTTTTTTCGGTTTCAGAACGCTCAGTGCCCTGATCCCTTCTTCAAAGTCTTCAGGGCCAAAAGTATTTTGGAATTCACAATTATTCAGATGTTAGTAGGATAGTAAGGTACAACCACCAGGAGGTATATGACCTCCGTAATATGTCTGAGGTAGTGCCTGGTCATCAAACACATGAGTATATCCATAGCAAAATACAAGATTTACACTAGTTTGAAGAAAGACAAAGTATAAGTATTAGTTCATACATATTTTGTAGATTCATAACGGAGAAATTTTTCATTAGAAAAGGTTTTGGAATTTGAACTTGCAAAGACAGCATTGTGAATCATATAGAAAAATAGCTGAATTAGCAATAGTAGTTATTTAATTCAATTATAAAGTTTAACATTTAGTTTTCCTCTCTTAATATAGTTCACACAGAAATGTCAGGCTCTAGCACACATCTCTGAACTTCTCAGAGCTTGAGAACTTCAGATTGGAGAAGTATTAATATGGATAAATTAATCAGTACTTTACCTGTACCTGTAAATTATTCGTATCATAGCTTTTTCCCAGAAAAGAAATTCTTTGTTCTATTTATTACTGCTATTCATTTATTCTTTGTTTGTTTTACTCAACACCAAAGATAAGGCAAACAGCAAGATAACCCACACTGGACGTAGCATGTGGAAATGAGCAGAGCGTGAGCTCTGACCAGAGGCTGACCACAGACAGCCTCTAGAAAATGGGCTGTCTCAAAGAAGAATTCAGAAAGTCCTCAGAATGCAGGATTAACCAGTGAGTCAGGTTTGGAATAACCCAGTTCACACCTTTGCACCCTGTTTCCACTAGAGTGTATTTGGTTAAATAAAATGAAAACCCAAATAATATCGTTTCCTCACAGAATAGAAAATCTGCAGGGAGGTGGTTCCTGATGCTGGTTTAACTGCCCACTGGTCACCCAGGACTGGGCTCCCAGCATTCCACTATCCTCAGTGTGATGGTGTTTTGTCCTTTCTCCACTAGGGTATGGACAAGGAACAAGCCAGCCACCCACTTTCTGCTGTTCCTGAACACAACTCATCTTAGTATTTCTTTCTGCCCGAGGAATTCGACCTTTTTCCTCTTGATGAAAATTAACTCCCATCTTTCTTCTTGGGTCTTGTCCTTGTTTACGCCTCTCTTCAACAATCATGGATAGATATACATACACTCCAAAACAAAAGAAAGAAATCTGTTCTCAGCAATATTAATTTTAGAATTTCTGGATCTTCTTGTTAATGCAAATAAGATGAAACACAATTAAATGCTGTAACTATTGGGGAAAAGACATAAAAATGCATTTACTAACAAATAACATACTTAAGTAACCCAACTGAATATTTTAAAAATCAACAAGATAAGCCAGGCAGAAAAAGAACTAAAAATGTACTGGTCAACACACCCAAGTGCACACACAAAATCTCTATCACTTTAACACATATTGCAAAAGCAATTCCTTTCAAAGTAGAAATTATAAAAACAATATTTGAGATTAACAGGAAATGCAAAGGACTTATGTTAAGGTACATTTTGGAAAGAATTACAGGTAAACTTACATAAATGAAAATGCTTATTATATTCCAGGATGCCAAGGCCAATGTTCATTACTGGATATGATAAAAGTACAAATAGGATTACAACAGAGCCTTTTGGGCAGCTTGGCCCTTGAACTTTGTTTTATACTCCCCTCCTCATCCAAATGTGAGGGAAAGAACTGGTAGCTATTCTTCACAAGAACAAATTGGGTTAAACTCACCTGAAGGAGAAATTCCTGCATAAATTACTATAGGCAGTCCCGGAGTTACAAACATCTATTTGAAGTATGACTTGCCCTTACAAATGGAGGCTATTACATGTAATAGGTAAATGTACCTAGTCCAATTTACATACAAATTCAACTTAAGAACAAACCTACAGAGCCTGCCTATCTTGTTTATAACCTGGAACTGTCTATAATCTGAAACTATGCTTTTTCCAATAAATTTAGTCTTAAAAGCCATCAGTAGCATACAGTTGTAATCATAGAACTTTGGCACTAGAAGATGGTGACAGAGTGAATCATTCTGTGATTCAGCAAGTTGGCATGATTTATTTTGATAGGAGGTGTGTGGGTTGTTCTGAGCACCTTTTTTCACCCAGAGAAGATTCTCATGCTGCCCACAGTGAAGGTCATGGAATAATTGGGAGATGGGACCCACATCTGTTGGTATAACTTAAATCCACCACATCTGGAGCTTGTTCACACATTACATCTTGAGACCTCTGAGTTGTCTCCCTACTGTATCAATGACCCATTGGCCATGCCTCTGAGACTACAGCTCAGATTATGGGTCCCTTCTTGTCATGGGGCATCCCCCTCCTAAGGAGTGATTCTGAGTCAGCCGTACAGGGGTCATCTGGAACCTGCAGGGCCTGGTTACCTCTAGGAGTCCTCAAATTGTGATTCAGCATGACTGAGGAAGAGACTTGAGACCAGAGCTGGGAGGAGCAGGAAAGAGTTGTCACATAAGATGTATTTTTGGCACAAATCACAGACTATGCCACCATTCATTAACTTA